GACTGGCTGGTTGAGAGGACAGGAAGGAGAGACAGACGAAGACAGAATGGTAGGTCCAGATATAGGTCCAGGTCCAGATATAGGTCCAGGTGTATCTGAAAGACAAAAAAACACGTTAAGGATAGAGAAAATAATTACAAATACAAAACAGGTTGAGCAGAGTAAGTAAAGACACAAGTAGAGTGAAAATTATGGTCAGTTTGTCCTCCAGCAGTCTAAGCCTATAGCAGCATAACTAAGGGACATCTCCGGAAACCCAAGCTGACCCTAACTATAGGATTTATCAAAAAGAGTTTTAAGCCTAGTTTTAAAACTGGATAATGTGTCAGCCTCACGGACAGAGATTGGAAGTTGGTTCCACAAGAGAGGAGCCTGATAACTGAAAAATCTGCCTCCCATTCTGTTTTTGTAAATTCTAGGAACCACAAGTAAACCTGCAGCCTGAGAGCGAAGTGCTCTGTTAGGAAAATATGGAACAATAAGATCTGTAATAAAAGATGGAGCCAGGTTGATTTATAAGACTGAGCTGAACACAGCTTCTCAAACTGAGGAACTCTTTCGGATGAAAAACAAAAAGTTTCTACAATTTTTTGTTTTTTGAACCCGTCCAGAGGACCAGACTTAATTTTTTTTTATTTTTATACCTGGATTATTGAGATGCATCAGGACTACTCTATATATTTATTTATTCAAAGTTACAAGGAAAATCCCATTGAAATCACATATTTATTTTTCAAGGGAGGCCTGAGCCTGAATGCAGCCTAACTTGCATGTTTTTGTCTGTGAGAGGAAACCAGAGTACCCGGAGAAAACCCACACAAACACGAAAAGAACATCAAACTCCACACAGAAAGACCCCAGGTCCAAATGGGGATTGAACCTAGGACCTTATTGCTGTGAGGCAACAGTGCTAACCACTGATCCATCAAGCTGCCAACTACTTTGACGTACTCACTCTATCGTGGCTTGTGGATATACAGTACTGTACATAATATTGTACAAAAAATATAAATAAAAAAATTAAAATGTGCCACCATTTTGTAGTTTTCATTAAGTCTTCACTGTTTTGCCAGTTTATTGAACTATGCTACCCAGAAGCCATCAGTTCACTTTCCACAAGTCAACACTGCTTCCTACTGCTGCTTTCTGCAAATTGAGGGAAAGTTTTGCAACACAAAATCAGAAGTACTTTTAAGAATAAGCTCACAGAACTGGCAGGAAAGTAGCAAATAATTCTGAAGCTGAACTCATCCTTCAAGTTGTGTCTTCACTCCTAAGTAGCTGGGCTACAGTTGATCTGGACTCAGTATGACCCGGATCCTGGGAGCTGCAGGCGACAGACTACTGTGGGGTTCAGCCTGGTTCTGGCCACTCGGTGCTGGTCCGGACCGGACCAGAGATAGTGGACTGAACATCCCCGGGAAATTATTTAAAGAGTGTGCCGTTCAGCTCTGCTAGGTGCTGGCCGACATCTTGAACACCTCACTTACCTTGGCAGCAGTTCCCATCTGCCTGAAGACTGCCACCATCTTCCCAGTCCCAAAGAGCTCTACATTGACTGGTCTGAATGACTATCGGCCAGTAGCCCTCACCATGATAGTCGCTAAATGCTTTGAAAAACTGGTCAAGACCCACATCAAAACAACCATCAACCTCAACGAGGACCCTCATCAGTATGCATACCGCGAGAACCGATCAACAGAGGATGCCATCTCCTATGTGGTCCACACTGCTCTCACCCACCTGGAGCAGAAGGACTCCTACATCCGTATGCTCTTTGTGGACTTCACGTCTGCTTCAACACCATGATGCCCCAGTCTCTGAAGGACAAACTATTCACACTAGGACTAAGCCCCTCCATTTGCAACTGGGTACTAGACTTATTAACAAACAGACCACAGTCAGTGAGGATCCACAACTTCTCCTCCTCCACCTTAACCCTCAGCACTGGCTCCCCTCAGGGATGTGTTGAGCCCCCTCCTGTTTACTCTGCTCACATATGATTGTGCAGCTACCCATCCAGGCTGTCACATTGTAAAGTTTGCAGATGATACAGCGGTGGTGGGATGCATCACAAACAATGATGAGTCCAGCTACAGGCAGGAGGTGGAACACCTGGAGAGCTGATGCAAAGAAAATAACCTTCAGATCAATGTGAAGAAGACAAAGGAGAAGTTTGTGGACTTCAGAAGGAACAAGTACACCTAACACCCCCTGAACATAAGAGGATCTGCGGTGGAAGTGGTCTCCAGCTACAAGTACTTGGATGTACACATGAATGACAACCTCATCTGGAACAACACCACCACCAGCCTGATCAAGAAAGCTCATCAGAGACTCTACTTCCTCAGACGGCTGAGGCGAGCTGGTCTGGAAGCTCAGTCCTCACCTCCTTCTCCAGGTGTGCAGTGGAGAGCATCCTGTGCTCGAGCATCAACGTGTGGCATGGAGGCTGCACAGCTGCAGAAAGAAAAGCTTTGCAGAGAGTGGTGAAGGCTGCACAGAAGATGTTGGAGTCAGTCTCCCCACCACAGAAGGTGTTTCACAAAAAGCAAAAGTGTTGAGACGTGCCGGCAAAGCAACTGGGAAATACAAGAACTGGTTTAACTTGGAGCTGCTTGAGCCTGTAGAAGTGGCTGGCAACAGTGAATCAGCTGATCTGTCACAGTTGGAGGATCTTCATGTCCAGGCAAATGTTCATGATACGGATACACACGAGGATGTTTTTGTGATTAAGGACATGTCATTTGATGAAGCAAAGGAAAATGAAATAAAAAGCTGGAAACAATCAAGTGCTTGAAGAAATTGAGGACAAAGGACAAAAGTGTGTCTCCACTCGTTGGGTGTGCACTCTGAAAGAGAGTGAACATGGATTAGCACCAAAAGCAAGTCTTGTTGCACGAGGATTTGAGGAGCTACAAGTTTCTGATCTACAAAAGGACTCGCCAACCTGTGCTTCAGAGTCACTGAGACTCCTGGTGGCAGTTATATGTCAAAAACAATGGAACCTTCACTCAATGGACATTAAATCTGCCTTCTTACAAGGAATGGAACTGTCCAGAGACATTTTTATCAAACCTCCCCTAGAGGCCAATAGCACAGGCATGCTTTGGAAACTGAGAGAATGTGTGTATGATTTAGCTGATGCCTCACTGTATTGGTATAACAGGGTAAAAAACATCATGATTGAAGCAGGCGGCATCATGTCTATGGTCGACCCTGCAGTTTTCTACTGGCTGGATGAGGGCAAGAATGTAACTGGTGTACTTGCTTGTCATGTTGATGATTTTATATGGGGTGGATCACATATGTTTTCAGTCAGTCATACCTCACCTCAGGTCAAAGTTTAATGTCGGTCGTGAAGCGCATAATAGTTTTTCCTATGTGGGTGTGGATCTTGTTGCTAAGGGTAAGAAGGTACACATGCACCAAGACACATACAGGTCCTTCTCAAAAAATTAGCATATTGTGATAAAGGTCATTATTTTCCATAATGTAATGATAAAA